TAAAGGTTTTTAAGAAATAGGTCAATTTCTAAAATAAAGTTCTTATAGATTTGAATTTTTCTGATATGCTTAGCAAGGAAGTTGTGAATTAATATTCCTAGTCTTGATGAGCATTGCTAGGTGTCCAGAAGCATTTGTAATTTGTAAGTTTTTGAGATAAGGTTGAGAATTTTGCTTCTTTAGTGGATAGATGTGTTTCTGAAATTCCAAAAATATCTATTTGATTTTCTGAAATGAAGTCAATTAGGCTAAGTTGTTTGAACTTGTCTAAAAAACTGTTAATATTGAGAGAGTGTATTTTGATTAATTTTATGTTATCTGGGTTTTTTGATAATAAAAAATTGTTATTAGTATGTGTTGTATTAAAAGATAAATCTAGATTAGAGGATGAAATTAATAAAAGAGATTTTTGGCAATTTAGAAGAGATGATATTTTGAATCTTGTTGAAAAACAGTTTGTTTTAAGTAAAACATTTTGAAAGTCTAAAAGTTTTTGAAAAGGGATATAAATAAAATTAGATAGAAGATTGGTTTCTTATAAAAGATGAATATGGGCTTCTTCGTAGGTATTATTGTTAGATGTTTTAATAGAGATGTTGATGTATTGCTCAGAATAGTATGTTGGATAGTTAGTTTGGATAAATTTTAAGAAAGAGCCTATTGATTGTGGTGTTGGTAAGAGTTGTAAGTTGTAAAATGAAAGAAATTTGTTGAAACATGTTGTAGGATTATATAATTTTAATAGATTGAAGATTTGTGAATTGGTTTTTTTTTTAATAATATTTGTTGTTAGTAAGTCAATAGTATCATTTAGATTTTCTGTTGGTGAGTTTTGATTGTTGTTAGTAGTGTTTGAGTTTATTGGTATGTTAATAAAAAGGTTAGGTATATAAGGTTTTTTTGAAGTAGATGAAATATATTTTCAGTAAAAGGGTTCTCAGAAGGATGTGATGAATTGTAATCTGAGAAGTTTGAGTTTTCTTCTATAGATATGCTCACTGTATACTCTATTTTCACAGTTGCAGAGGATACTATAGTCTGCCCTATATGTTGGGTCTGACCATCATTAGCCTGGTCCTTCACGTAAATAGGCTTTCCTGCCCACCTACTTATATTATTCTCTTTCAAAATAGCACACTTTAGTAACAGACATCATTATTTTGAAAGTGACAGCTGTATTAATGTTATCTATAGAAGGATTTATTAAAAAAAGTAAACTAAAGGTAGCATTTGAAGATAGGAAAAGAGTGTCATCATGTATCATAGGGATTTTAATATCATAATGTTTAATGATAAATTTTTCTGCTTCTAAAAGGTATTTTTAATCATAATCGAGTTGAATTTGTGTAATAGAGAATTTAGGTTGATTTTGAGTATGAAAATAAAGAATTATATGTGCTAAGATATGTGGATTAATAGTAGGTGAAATGAATTTTTCTAAAGCTTGATTAAGTTCAAGGCCTGTAATACT